ACCACTCAGCCTGGAAAGGTCTTTCTTAACATGGAAAGTTCTGGGTGTGATGTTGGCCTGTAGATGAATCTATTATGAGTGTAACCATACTGCCAAGTCTCTTGAAATATGGTTCATGAGGAGAATAGGCACGCCAGCAGCAAAGCATCTTGATGTACATCTGTGAGGAGATGAGCACACCAGCAAAACACCTGGACATAAGTCCATGGGGAGAATGGGCATACCAGAAGAGCACCTGGATGTAAGCCCATGAGGAGAATAGGCACACCAGAAGAGCACCTGGATATAAGCCCATGAGGAGAATAGGCACACCAGAAGAGCACCTGGATGTAAGCCCATGAGGAGTTGGGTGCACGAGCAGAGCACCTGGATATAAGTCCATGAGGAGATGGACATACCAGAAGAGCACCTGGATGTAAGTCCATAAGAAGCAACACACAGGCAAAACACCTAGATGTTAGTCTATGAGAACAGACACACAGGCAAAACACCCGGATGTAAATCCATGAGGAGAACGGGTACACCAGAAGAGCACCTGGATGTAGTTCTGAGTGATATTCCTATTTGAGTGCTAGTTCCTAGGTGTATGTTCTCATGAGAGAAGCATGCAGTGTAGCAGAGTGGCCCAAGCTAGGGCCAGTGTGTGGAACCTACAAGGAATGTCTTCCCAGCACATGCCTCTGGTGCTGCTGCTGTGGCCAGGTGAAGCCATCTTGGCTTGGCCCTCTAAGGTGACACTCCTCGACCCCAGTGACACAGGCTGTTGGGATCTCAGGAGACAGCAGTGTCTATTGCTTCCCTGGCCATGGTGGATGTGTTGTAATTGTCCTGGTGGACTCCATATCACCAAGTATAATGCAGATGGGACCCTAGTCAAAATGTCCAGGTATGAAAGGAACAAAGGAGCCCTGCCAGGTGGCAGTGACCTGTGGCTTTTCCTCATGCCAGCTCATGGCTTCTTCCCATCACCTGTGGGGCAAAGCCGCATCCTTAATTACTAGAAGCAGCTTATGCAGGGCAGGAACTGGCCCCAAGGTACACAGTAGTAGCTATGGGGTGATCTCCAGACCACCAGTCCAGTATGAGAACAAATCTCAGTGCTGAAGACTAGAACCCAGGGCAAGATGAAGTCATTGATGTGCAGGGCCTTGGGCAAAGCTCTTGGGTGCTATCCTTGGACACACTTCACCACTCATCAGGTTCATGTTCTTGAAGTTGCAAAGCACCCTGGTTTTCAGGGAAAGTCAAAGCCTATGCCACACACACCACAGCTGGCAGAGGTGGTGCTTGGGAACTTACAATGAGATTAGGAAGATGCTTCCTGCCCAGCCTGGGTCAGGTCAGAATTTGTCAGTGCTGGCCCTCATCTAACAGTTCCTATGAAGATCTACTCATCACTCCCTCTGGTCCTTTAAAAGTCTTCACTGATATTATACAAGAAACATGCAAACATGCTTTATTTTTTAAAATTTTAGTGTAGCTGAAAAAACCTAAAGCACCCCTTGACCCCTGCCGGCCGGCCAGCTATCCTTCTAGAATTGTTCTTGTGATTTGTGGGGCTTCGGCTTCTATGTCCTGTGCCCCTAAGCCAGATGTTCAGGGCCCCAAGACTTTCAGGGTTGTTTGGGGTTTGCTTTGATGAGCTCTTGCTCCTCTTTCTGAAGCAGTCATGGTGGGGCTAAGGTCCTCCCTGGTGACTCTGGTGGGCTCTTTACTATGCCTGCGCTCTCAGATCCACACAGTGCTCTTCTGCCCTAAGTGTCTCTGGCCCTGGGGCTGGCTGTAGCTTTGCTTGATGCTCAGGTGGGCTCATTACTGCTCTGGTCCTGTGGCTGTGCTGACTCCTGCTGTGTATGGGGAGCATCTCCTGTTTGCTAGCATTCAGTTTGTAGCTGTCTATCAGACACTGCTCTGTTTTCTTTGAAACAGGGTTTCTCTGTGTTGTCTTACTCCTGACTGTCCTGGAACTCACTTTGTAGACCAGGCTGGCTTTGAACTCACAGAGATCTGCCTGCCTCTTCCTACTAAGTGCTGGGATTAAAGACAGAAGCTGCTCTTTTTAACCAGGGACCTTCAGTGGAGCAGACTGATCTGCTGGATAAGTGTGGCCCTTCAGAGTACCCACCCATCTGTTGTGCTCCTTCTTCTCCTGAACCTTTTCCCTGAGTCTAGGTCTTGCTGTGGGTCCCATGGTTTTGTCATGTGGAAGATAGCACTAGCCCCTTCCAGGTGATATCTACTGAAAGTTATCTTGTGGCCGTAGCATGACCTGATCTACCTTCCTCTCTGCCCTGGTGAGGTTATCTTTTCTCTGGAGTGTCCGGCAGAGTCTAAACTCCTTCTGAGCAGTGTCCAAGGAGGGGAAGGATTTTTATGTCTGGTGTCATGCCATGCTTGACTATTGGGCTGGTGTTTTTCTTGGTAGCCTGTAGCTCCTTCCTTCACAGCCCACGGGTGGGGGGGTTCCTCATGTAGCTGTTGATCTTAGATCCTTCTCTTGTGAAGATATATAGGATCATAGTTGAATCTTGAGTTCCAGTCATTCAAATATTGACCTTTGTGCTACTAATGGCTATTTACCTAATCAACAATAAAAACTCACAGGGCAGTGGTGGCGCATGCCTTTAATCTCAGCACTCCGGAGACAGAGGTAGGCAGATCTCTGAGTTTGAGGCCAGCCTGGGCTACATAGCGAGTTCCAGGACAGGTTCCAAAGCTACACAGAGAAGCCCTGTCTCGAAAAACCAAAAATAAATAAATAGATAGCTAGATAGCTAGATAAATAGATAAATACTCATTTAGAAAGGGAAAATATTACTTGGAAGTTAGATGAAGACAGAATTGAAGACTTGCAGAGAGTTAGTATATAACTGTTCATGAAGTGAAAGTTGTGACTTTGGGGGAACTTCCTCCTGTTGGGACTGGGGCAGTCAAAGGAAGGTGCCGAGAAGCTAGCAGGTGCCTGCACAAAGGGACACAGTGTCCAGGCCTTTGAACAGGAGGTTATTAAAGTGGTTCCCATCAGCTGTCATGAACTGAGTTGAAGACTGCTAACATTGATGTTACTTCATTTTTAATAGGAAGCAGGGGCATCACCATGGATACCAGCATCCATGTCTGAGCGTCATGTTACTCCTCCACTTCCACTCTACCCTTTCTCAGTTTAATAGAGCTAAGTAGTAACATTCTGAGGAGTTCTAGGAAGCTGACTCAGCTGAAGTCATGAGTCTAGGAAAATCATTGTATCAGTTCACCATTCACCCCCATTTCTTGTGCTACACTATGTGTCAGGAATGCAATGACAAAATTTCAGGGTGACAAAGAGCTTCAGATGGGCACTATGCCCCTGCACCACAGCTTTCACCTCTCTGAGGAAAGCATGCATTGTAGATAGGCCACCATTGGGACAGGTGGCTTCTAGAGGCTGCAGGGATGGGAGAGATCAGCCTGCGGCTGTTACCTTTAAAAGGAAAGTCTTTTGTCCACTGATGGCCACTGCCCACGTGACGTGGTCATCATCATGTGCTGATGTTAATCCTGGGCCCTGGGGAAGTTCCCAGTATAACGACTATGTAGCTGAGATCCACTCACTCCCTTCTGGTGCTGTCCTGGAGCACCTGCCACCAGGCTGAGCAGCAGCAGCTGGCCTTGCCGCCTAACAGCTTCTGCAACTGCAGGGCTGCTTAGGATGCTTGTATGGAAGCAATGTGAAGCTGCACCTGGAGTGCAGGGAAATGCAGAGGCTGTATGGCCATGGGTGGGGTGCTCACTACACCCAAATAGTTTCTAAACCTTTGGCTTTAGGTACACTGGCTTCCAGCCCTGCCTCTGGGTTTTCCTGCTACCACCTTGGCCCTATGGTGACAGTAACCCCAACTTAGTGGTTCCTTTTCTAAATCCTTCCAGCCCTTCCTTTTCACTGTACCAGTTCCTCAATGGCTGCTGGGGCTCAGCCTTCCATCAGTGACCCCCCCCTCCCCCCGCCCCGTGCTGCCCTTCCTGTACTTGCGAAGGGCAGAACCAAATGCTTCACCACCTTCCTACCCAGGACATGCATGGGCTTCCTGTGTTGTGCTGCCCATGCCCAGCAAGGTTTATTACTGGTAGATGTAGGCTTATACTGCTGTCTGGACTCACTGAGTCATTTACTGTGCTGCTCTTTGGCTGAAAAGTTTAGGACTCAGTGTATGTGTGTTGGGGGAGGGCAATTGAATCAGAATCCTTGCTGATAAAACTTCAGCAATGTGTTGGAAACCCAAGCACCTTAATGGTTGGACAGAGGTAGGTTGTGAGCTGTAGACAAGTGCAGGCCATGTCACTCAATACCCTTGAGACCATGGGTGTTTTTCTGCCATACACTAGACTCCTCCACTGCTGTAATTAGATAATAGGGTACCACCTTGTAGAGCTAAGGAGAACACAAGATGTGCATTTCTGGTGCTTCAGACAGCATGGAAGCCAGCCTTGGTGGTTCCTGACTAAGAATGAGACTGTGCATACTAAGCTCACACATGCATACACACATACGGGCACACAGGCAATGCTCTCACTCTAACGTAAGCTGATACTCACATCCTCATGCATGCATGCATGGTGCATGCACAGGAACACACGCTGTCACACACATGGTTGCCTGGACTGTCTCTCAACAGGTATGCACAGCAGTGTTGATGTGATGAGGTTGTGACTTGTGGTGAGAGCTTTCCAGATGTTCTCCTGTCCACACATATTACTTTGTTGTACTTAAAGAAAGATGCCTCTAGGGTATTGAAAAAGGTTCTCAGAAATTCTGAATCTTTGCTAAGGAAACAGTAGAGGCCAGAAATAAACTGTTGGAAGCATCAAGGTGGCAACCCATAGGCTCTGTTAAGAACTTGTGGACACAGATGTGTGGACTTTGCCCTGTTGTCTGGGGATGCTCTGGCTATGGAGGCAGCATTTGAGATGTGCCATTTTACCCTGCAGTGGTTTTGTGCTCTAACTCTATGCTTTCTCCTCAGGTCCTGCACGCACACAAGCCTCACTTCATGGCCTTGCACTGCCAAGAATTCGGAGGGAAAAACTACGAGGCCTCCATGTCTCATGTGGACAAGTTTGTCAAGTAAGTCTCAGCTGGAGCCTGTGGACTGTGGGATAGGTCTTTGGATGGGATGTAGTCTTGAATGCAACCCTTTGAAACTCATCTGTGGGTCATGTTGAGGCCGTTGCAATTTACCCCAGAGAGGTGTGGCTCAGAGGTCTGGCAGCTGCTTGCTTCCAAAGAGTAAGCACCTGTGCTAGGCTTGGGGGCAGGTCTTGGGGACCCATTAGAGCACCTACGGTGGATGGATGCTAGCCAGCCTGCTGCAATGGATGATGGATGATGGGCAGGACTGGGTTCTACAGCAGCTTCTGTGCTTTGAATGCCTTCGAGATAACATTATGTCATCCAGGAAGGAGACACTGTATGTGTAGAGCCAGTACAAATTGTGCTCTGTGGCTCCTTAGAGGACAGAACCATCTGGGCTCAGCCCAGGAAGAAGGGAAATGGGGTCTCTTGAGGTGGCTATGTGAATGGAGACAGAGTGGAACAGCAAGCAGGTACCCAACCCTGGGCTCCAGGTCTGGAATTGGGGCCCTTCCCAATTGGACCTAGCTCAGAAGCCTGTTTGCCCTCAGACACCATTGTACCCATTCTGCTTTTTTTTTTTTTTTTTTTGCAGGTATTAGCACAATACAAATCATCAATTTGTTTAACTAAATTCAAGGGGATACTTCTTAATTCAGATTCCTCTTTTTGTCTTCTAGAAGCATCCTAACAGTGACCAGAAAGGTGACTAGGGATAAAGAGGAACAGTTAAAATTTACAGAATCCTGGATATAGTTTTCAGTGGAGAAATGGAGTAAAGTTCTGAAAGGATTGTAGAACCACATCGGGGTTGCATTGAGGTCATTTGTTGCTCCTGGTGTATGGCTTTGAAAGAAGTCATCTAGGCCACAGCTTTGACCATGGGGAATGTTGCAGAAGAAATGTCCATGTGGTGTTCCTGGGACCTGCCCTCTGTTGGCATGGACACAGCTGGGTCCTGAGTTTGTGATTTTTCCCTCAGTTCCTGGTATGCACTGAAGGTGCTACCTGCCCTGTGAGTCTGTGGTGTTCATTCCATCCCTGGCCCTGCTGCTGCCAGAGAGAGAGAGAGAGAGAGAGAGAGAGAGAGAGAGAGAGAGAGAGAGAGAGAGAGACTGACTTTGTGTCTTTGTATGTAAGGGGTTGTACATGTGCCACAGAGCTCATGTAGAGGTCAGAAGACAACTTTTTGGAGTCCGTGTTTTCAACTTTTATGTGAGTTCCTGTAGATTGAAGTTTCTTGGTCCCACTAGTCCCAACCATTTTTTTTTAATAAAATAATCACTCAGAGGCTTAATATTAATTACAAACTGTTTGGTCTATGGCTCAGGCTAGCTAGCTATTACATCTTAAATTAACCCATTTCTATTAATCTATGTATTACCATGTGTCTCGTGACTTTACCTGTGTTCTATTACATCTTTTTCCCCCTGGTGTCTCACAGCATCTCTCCAACTCTGCCTTCTCCCTGTATCTCGTGTTTTCTGCCTGGCTATAACCTGTGTTGCCATAGGCCAAAACAGCTTCTTTATTAACCAATAGTAGCAACACATATTCACAGCATACAGAAAGACCATACCACAGCACTTCCCTTTTTCTGTCTAATCAAAAAGGGAAGTTTTAACTTTAACAAAATAAAACTGTTATATGTTATCAAGCAAGAATTACAGTTATAATATCTAGTCGATTGGTATTTGAAAAAAATAAAATACTCTGGTGAGTCTAAAGTTTCATATCTAATTTATCTTTTATCATGACTAAGGAAAACTATAGTTACAACAATTTAGTCTTCCACTCCATCAAAGACCCCAGAAGGATCTAATATTATCTGAGTAAACAGGAAGTGCATTTCCAGAAACTTACATAATTCTGGAAATGACAGAGACATCTGACTGTCTGGACAGTCATCCAAAGTTCTTTTGTAATGTTGGGGCATCCATCTTCAGCCTATGGGTCTAGAGTATCTGGCAGACTTTTCAGAGAAGCAAGACATTTGAAGGACTGTTCTGCCTATTTTGGCAAAATTCATCAGTCATTTTTCTGTGTGTCCTGCAGAATGTCTGGCAGTTTCTTCTGTGAAGCAGGAACCTGAAGGACCATCCCACCTTGCTTTGGCAAAGTTCAGTGGTCATCTTCTTATGGGTTCTGCATTTCCAGTTTATACAACATACTGTCAAGCAGTCCAGGCGGGAGCAGTTTCTTGTTCAAATGGCTAGCCTTTTCCATATTGTAAGCAAACTCCATAATGAGTTTCTTCGATGCCCATTATCCTCTTTGAAGTAATTAAAGCTGCCAGGAGCAGATGTGTCTCATTGTCCAGAAAAGTCCAAGTTCTTAAAACATTTTAAATGCCATATTCTGTAGGTTTTTGAAGTGTTTGAAGATTATCTAATTGAAACGTATCTTTGTATACCTAAAAAACTTAACTAACATGACTGTAAGTTTGATTATCATAGATGGCTAGTTATTAATGTGTATTTCTTAATTATACATTACAATTTTAAGTGAGTTACATAAACATACCTTAAACAAGAGTAGAAATATACATACTGTGTAACAAAATTGACCTTAAATTTGTATCAATAAACCAAAATCCATATCAATATAAGTATTTTGAGATTAACAGTTGTCTTTTGGATCAAAGTTGATTCAATTATCTTTTTTAAAAATCATTTCTGTATTATATCCTCCCTTTTGTTTTAGAAAGAAATTGCATTTATAATCAACCCCCTTTAAATAAAAACCAACATTTTTTACAAACATTTATAAACAATATTTGGGAAATTTGGGTGTATCTTTTCATACTACTTTCTGCTGATTGTGGGTGCTGGTAATCTTATGGGGATCCTGAGGAAATTTAGAATTATGGTCAAATCTTGACTGTAGTAGTCTGTGAGGCTGCATCATCTCAGCCAATTGCCTTGAATCTGTTCTGGATGTTGGATCATCTGGGCTATAGATCCCATTCGAGACCTCTAAGGGGGTCTTCCTTGATGGAACTATAATAACGTCGAAGGAATCCACAACTTTTCAACTTCTATGGAAACAAAAGCAGAACCTTTTTTTTCCCCCCCAAAGCATCATATCCTTAGACCTTGATTTTGAAGTCAAGATATCTTAAAAATATATATGTTGGTTTAACTTAGCAGCCCCCACAATCAAATGTCTCTCTATAGTTAAAAAAAAAAAATCTCAAAGACAGCACAATTATATACAGTATCAGATTCTCTGTGTATTTTCCATTTTTACATGGCTTTTTTAAAAATTCTATTTCTTTTTTAAGGACTTTCTCTATCCTTTTTCTTTTTTTCTCCCAAGCCTATGTGTAATTTTAAACACAGTGTAACCTGTTTAAAGTTTTTTTTCCCCCATCTGAATCTATTTTATTGTGTATCTTTAATTCTTTTCTGACCCAGAGAGTTTTTAAACTGCTAAGCAGCATGGCTAGAACTGAAGTGGTGCCCTGGCTGCTGGCTCTGCCCTGTTTGGCTTTTCAGCATAGCAGAGGTATGTTCACTGCCAATTCTGGGAGTCACGCTCACTACCCCAATTCTGGGAGTCACGCTCACTACCCCAATTCTGGGAGTCACGCTCACTACCCCAGTTCTGGGAAGCAGTGGGTCTGTGTCTCCATCAAGCAGCTTGTAGCAAGCACGTTGCCCACAAATCCATTTAAGTGCTCAGTAGCAGGACCTCTGGAAATAGCTGTTAGTGCTGACAGCATGGGTCTAGAATCCCTTTTTAAGCTTTTGTCAGATTTTATGCGGAAATTCTGGCTCCATGTTGGGCGCCAGATGTAGCTCGAAGTTTCTCGGTCCCACCAGGTCCCACCTGGGCAGCAGACATTTTTATAAAATAATTACTCAGAGGCTTAATATTAATTACAAACTGTTTGGTCTATGGCTCAGGCTAACTAGCTATTACATCTTAAATTAACTAATTTCTGTTAATCTCTGTATCACTCCATGTTTCGTGGGTTTACCTGTGTTCTATTACATCTTGTGTTACCCCCAGCAGCTTGCAGCATCTCCCTGACTCCACCTTTCTTCTTTCTGTATCTCTCTTGGATTTCCTGCCTGGCTATATCTGTGTTGCCATAGGCCAAAAGAGCTTCTTTATTAACCAATAGTAGCAACACATATTCACAGTATACAGAAAGACCATCCCACAGCAAGTTCCAGGAATCAAATTCAGGTTTCCAGGATTGTACAAGTGCCATTACCCAACTGAGCCATCTCACTCGCCCTTGTTGCCACTCTTCCTTGACCCTTTACTCCTGCTTGCATCTGGCTTAAGCTTGACAAAAAAAGAAGAGTTTCCTCAGTGCTCAAATGCCCCTGCTGGTACAGCTGGGAACCTCAAGGTCTCTGTGTGTAGAAAGATCCTGTAACCAACTTGTTCCCACCAGAGAGCTTCTTCCAAGCAACATGTGCTTCATTCCCACCAGTCAAGGTCTTGGAGCTTGATCAGGTTTCAAAAACCCTGCACCTTTCTCCCAAATAGTCTATAACTTCAAGGCAGTTTTAATGAAAGTGTTAAAAGCATTCCCCCGACACTCTATAAGCAAATACTGATCACATGGAGAAGCATAGTACAGAAAACAGCTGAAATGATCTTGAGGAAAACCAAGGCAGCGTTCTGTTGGCCAGGGCACCAGCTCTGGCTGCACCAGAGACATGCTGTGCAAAATGTGTGGCCAGACTGCACCACTCCCTGCTTCCTTGGTGCATGGCCTGCTGCAGGCTGAGAAGTGCCGAGTCTTGCGTCAGGAAGATGCTGTGTCACAACATCCCTCGTGGTTACCTTGCCTCAGAATGAATTCCAGTTGTAGATACCACAGGGTGTCTTTGTAGCTTTGAGGCAGGGAGGGTTTTTTTCAGAATGTGAAGCTTAGAAAGATAAGACTCACACATTTACCATACAAAAGAGAGCCATATTGTTACAGACATTCAGAACAAAAGAAGATCTAAGTCACCTTATGGAAAACATCTGCAGCACAGTCACTGACAGAAACCAGTGTTTACGCCAAGAACCGCACATTGATGAGGAAAAGAAAAGCTTGTGGGCTAGAGCAGCAGAGCATCTGAAGGGAGAGGTGCAGTGGGTGCTGAGCCCTGGGCACCTGCAGGCCAGAGGCCTTCGAGAGGGAGGTTCCACCACTACCGTCCCTTCCGTGTACTGTGTGTGGCAGCAGCGCATGCCTTGCTGCTCTGGCTTTGAAGAGAAGGGTGAGGGCTGCCGGGTACCTTCCTGTGCATTTCCTGCACAGTGCCATTTGCTCTGGGCTGGATTCAGCTTTTACCTGGACCGTAGTTCTTAGCCATAGAGCTTTTTGTGCTGTTTATTTCAGTACTAGTCAGCTGCTGCCGATTCTCTCAGCCTTTGTTTGTCTGAACGAGGTTGTTGTTCTCATTTTTGAAAGCTGCGTTCATTGGGAATGAATGGGAGCTTGTCAGTTCCCTCACTACTTCAAGGACGCGGTGTCATTGTCTTCTGTGTTTCATTGTTTCTGACCAGAGCCCAGCCCTTGTGTCCATCTTCATCTTCTTGTATATAATGTGCTTTCCCGGGGCTGGCTTTCCTCTACATGTAGCTGCTTTGTGGCAGCTCAGTTTGCTGTGCTCTGCGTTAATACTGTTTATTTTGACCAGGTTTGGAGAACATTAGTTCCCCATGTCTGCAGGTGCTGCTCTTCACGCGCCCCCCCCCCCCCCCCCGTGTGAAGTGGGATCCCCTACTGCACTGCTGTACAGGGCAGCCCACTCTCAGTCCATCCTGTGAACCCCCGATTCTCCTTGGTCAGCACCCGAAGCTCCTTTCTTCTGTACGTTTCTGTTTTCCTTTAGGGCTCTGATCATATTTATATTCACCATTTTAAGATTCTTTGAGCTAATCCTATTACATTTGCCTTTCTGGGTCTGGATCTGTTGATAGTTTATTTCAGAACAAATTCCAACACCAATTTGTTGCCTCTTCCCACGTCTTTAATCACATTTCCGTGTCTGTGGGGCGGGGCACAAGTGTACCAATGGCATGTGTGTGGAGGCCAGACAGGAACTTGCCGGAGTCGCTTCTCTTCTTCCACCTTGTTTGTCTTGGGGATTGAACTCAAAGGAAATGCTAGTTGCTGTCACTGTCCTTCATCAGTGTCTTCATCCCGGGGAGGCCTTGGGGCACAGGCATCTCATGGGCCTGAGTGGAGACGGAGCCTGCTATGTGGGCTGCTCTCCGAGTGCCGAGGACACATTGAACTTTGGTTTCACCTTGGCTGTCACTGATCCTCCTCTCTCCCCTCCACCCTCCCTCCCTCCCTCCTTGCCCCATTAGTGGCTGTGTGGGTCTCTGGGTATGTGAAAACGTTTTAACCAGGGCCCTGTGACTGGGAGCACATCTGTGGGAAGGCGGGGCGTTTGGGCTTTGCTTACTGTGCTCACTCTTTCTTCACTCCCAGGGAACTACTATCAAGTGACGCAATGAAAGAATACAACAGGGCGCGTGTCTACCTGGATGAAAACTACAAGTCACAGGAGCACTTCACGGTGAGTCGTCTCTAAGCTGTGGTGTGGGCCCCAGGCCAAGGGAACCTGAGTCTTGGCTGTTCCTGAAGAGTGCTGAGTTGGCTTGCGTGCTCTGTCACAGCATAGTGTGACTGTCCTAGTGAAAAGCTTCGCACATTCTAATGGCTGTTGGGTGGTCTGAGTCCACCGAAGACTGGCAGTGCTGCTGGCTGAGCTTAAGGTTGCATCCTCAACTGCTGGTGCAGACAAAGCGTGGACAGGAGCTGGGATGCAAATGGCCAGTGGCAGGAGGCTGGCCTTGGAATGTATGACATTAGAGGAGAAGTCTAGGGTCTCGAGGCTGGCTTAGATGAGAGATTGGACTGGAATGTAGGCTGCTCTGGTGAGCCCTCTATACCAACGCCCCTGTTCCTGGGCTTGCCTATCACTTTGTAAGCCATGAGCAGGCCCCCAGAATTAGGCCTGCTTCAGAACAGGTGTACCTTGGCATCACTTTAATAAGAACTGTCCCTCTTCTACAAGGGCCCTGCCTCTGGGACACAGTGTGGGATAGCTACTTTAGGAGGTAGGAGGTAGGCAGTGGGAAGGGCCAAGAACTCTTGGGAGATGTTTGAAAGCTTTATAACCGTTGGTTTGGAGGCCAGTGTCTCAAACTGTGGGGTGCCCAGGCATTCAGGGGTTAACTTTCCGTTCTTTCTGCTCCAGTGCCTTTTACTTCATCCTCTATCACTTTGTCACATTCATAGGTGGGGCTTCTCTTCTCCACGAGGGGAGATCTGGCAGGGATCCTTGTCTGTCAGCCTGTCTTCTGCCTTGGGCTGGCCTGAGCAGCTGCACGCCTTCTGTTGGAGCTGTATGGAGAGTTGTAACAAGGGTGTGTGTCATGGTGGGCAGAGCAGCGATATGACTCCTGCCCTGCATGGTGGTGACTTTGGGGTTGTCCTTGGGGTAGAGAACCCCTGTTATGGTTTCAGCCTCTGAGTTTGAGGCATCCAGTGCCAGGTTTGTTCTAGCCTCTCAAAGACGTTTTCTCTACATCTATCTTCCATCCACATTCAGGGGTGCCCTTGCCTCTAGCTCTGTTCTGCTCAGAAAACAGTCCTCCCATTTCCCCTTCTTCTTCCCTTTGCCCTTGGGCTACTGGCTGCTTCTCCCGAACTCTCTACTCCCCCCTTCTTGTAAACAGCCTCTCCCCTTAGACTTCTGGAGTCTCCCAGCTTCTTGTCTTTTCAAGTCAGGCCTACACAGTTTAAAAAGATATGACCTATTGGTGAGGATGGACAAGAGTCTAGACACAACAGAAGGAGAGGGGATAAACTGAAGAAAGCAATGGGAACTGCTAGAGATGAAATGGAGCAAACAGCCCATAAAGCGTCACTCTGAGATGATGTCACATGGCCTGACATCATGTCCCTGGGGCCTTCCAGAGGGCAGAGGAAACAGAGATGCTTGGAGAAATAATGGCTGAGGGTTTCCACAGTTCCACAAAGCTTACAAGCTCATAGATCTGATTGTGGCAGTGGGATTTCTATCCAAGCTTCCAGACAGAATCTCTGTGAGGTACAGCATCGTCAGACAGCGGAGCACCAGTGCTAAAAAGGCTCATCACCATCTCTCCTCCGTCTCTCTGCCATCAAGGCCTTACTCCTCTGCAGGCATCATCTGTCGGAAGGGCCTTCTCTCCATAACCCCCTTTAAATATATAGACACAGTGATCTAAAAGCAAGGGAAAGGGAGGATAAATCTCACATGTGCAAACAGGGCTGGTTTGGCACCATGAGAGCCTTCATAGCTGGACTGACAAGGGGAGGAGGCCACTGCTTGAGGATAGAGCACGGTTTGTGATAAATCTGCATTGCTCTCCATTGCTTGTCAAGTGGTGACTATGCCTTGGCATTCCTATCCTGGTACCCAGGCTCTGTCAGCCGCAGTGTGGTATGGAGTGCCTCCCTGTCGGACTGAATGGTGACAATCAAGGGCGACGATCTCCATGTCTTTGTGGAGTCACTGTAGGTAGCAGAGAGTAGAGGTCACTTACTCACTTATCCAGATTGTAACTGCAGTGACCCTGAGTCTTTGAGCACCATCCACCTCATATGCCTCCACTGCAGTCCCTTGGTGTGTCATGGTCCTTAGTGGGAGCCTTAGGCTGCCCTGGAAGGAAGGATCTACACCCCTGAGGTCCTGAACAGAGTTGGTAGCATCTGGCTGCTAGGTAGCCATCCTCGTGCCTGGTACCCTGTAGCTTCAGACAGAGAAATTTAATCTTTGTAAGATTGATGGTATCAGCTGAGTGTTTTTAGCTGAGTCTGGTTCAAATAATAGGCCATTAATTGAAAAAGGAAATTGAGATGAATTTATCTTATACATAAATGCTGTCATGGGCATTAATAGGGATCAGAAAATAGTGGCCTGTTTCCAGCAAGCTGCTGAACTGAATGAACTGCACCTGCTCTATGAGCCTGCTGTGGGGGTGGTGTTGGGGTGGGGGTGGAGCCCCGGAGCTCCAGGGCTGGAGTGGCCTGTTGGGGTAAGTGCGGCTTCATTTGCTGAGAATGCCCCAGGGGCTTAGAGTAGGACACTTGCAAAGGGCCCTGGCTGCCAGCAGGTGGCACCAGTGCAGCACTTTAGCCACAGTCCTCCCTACAGGGCCTGTTCCTAAGAGCATTTTCATACTTAAATGGACACATTAAATTTTGTGTGCTTACCGTGCCTAGCATATGTGTCTGTTGATGTGAGATGGATGTCTGCTGTCTATGCTATATAGAGACCACGAAAATGGCCCCTCATTTCTGGGCCCCTGGCTTTGTCACTGGCTAGCTCCTTGCTAGTTTTACATGGAAAGTTGTGTGTCAGAAGTCTGGGTCTTCAGAGGTTCTGCCAGAATGGCGTGTTGGATTGTTACCACTGGAAGGTCTTGGTCCCCATCCTGTTTCTTGTGTTTGAATGTTTCCACTTGAACAGAGGGGATTGGCCTTGGGCCAACACAGTGATTACTTGTGAATCACATGAGAGGCGGGAATGAGCACACTATGTCTGGGAACACTGAGAGTGCCTGGCTCTACTTCCTGGGAGAGCCTACCTTGGTTGGCTTAGCTTGGTTTTGTTTGCTGTTTCCTCCTGGGATTGACCATAAAGGTGCCCAGTCACACGTTTAGAGTCACTGAATGAACTGGTCTCCTAGCAGAGCACTGGAGAGCACTGGAGGGCTGGGAGTGTGAGTCATTGTGAATACATCCACAACCCCTCTGGGTGGAATGGGAGAAGGCAGTGGTATCTTGGAGAGAGAGCGACGGTCGTGAGCGGAAGAGAGAATTGGAGGCTGTTGGTGGGTGTGTTTAATGTCAGGGACTAAAGAGGGTCCCTGGCTGAGTTGCAAGGAGCATGGCTGCAAGGAGGTGAAAACTCAGGGAGGCGTGAGGGAAACAGGAAGTGGAGGCCCAGAAGCCAAAGTGCAGTGAGAAAGAGTTCCCCAAGATGGGTTTTCAGGGAGGTAGAGGCCATACTGCCCTTCCAGGCCAGACCCGAGAAGAATGAGATATGGCATCATGGTGGGAGGGCCCTGGGGTCTATGCAGTGTGTGGAAGCTGGCATCACTGAGACTGTAGCAGAGGTGGCTCTGAGGCCTGTGCCATCCAGAGAATGGTAGGTACGTTTCCTGTTTGGTCATGTGTTGGTGTCCTGGTCATGCTTTTGTGTAAACCCCAAAGAACAAGGTGCCACCAGTTTAAACATCAGTGAGGCAAGTGAAACATAGAGCTCTTCTGTTGAAGTGGGTTATGTGTGCCTCTGTAGCTGCCTGTAGCAGGAACTAAAGGAGCAAACGATGTGCTCCCCAAGTGGGAGAATCCTTCTGGGCATCCAGGTCACCACACTGTTCTGTCTTTCCTGCTCTGGGGCCCAGGGGTCCCCTTTAGCTAGTCCTGATCAACCCTTTGTACATTTCTCCTCAGCAGCACCTGGGGAGGAGTTGGGGTAGTAACATAGACCGCACACTCCTGCAGACCAGGTCATTGCCATTGGGTCCTAGGATGTCAGGTGTCCATGGCATGCTCCTGAAAGACACCTGCAAAGAGACGCACAAGAAAGAAAAATCTTGTCATCCAGCCATCCTCTGTGGGCTGGGGCCATCATTGCCACGCTCCTGGCCCTTCTGTCATCTTAGCTGCCTGTGACACTTACTGTTACCTGGCCTTTGCGCTGGCTTGCCTGTCCACTTCTCAGACACTTGCATCCTGTCCTCTTCCTGAGGGACTTCTAGAGTAGGTGTTCTTCTACTGGTGGGCACACCTTAGCCAGGGCCACTCCTCACTGTCAGAGACTGGCTCAGTGAGGACAGGGCTTTGCATTCAGAGCAGGGGCTCTACCACTTGGTATAAAGTGCAACATGTGTTGGTGTAAATAGCCCCTGTGCGACATTTATGTTGATAGAACAGTCATGGACATCTGTATTAACCGTTTGGCATGTAACATGAAACTATGACTTCATAAAAAGAGTGATTTGAACAAAATGAAGAACAAACTTGACCTTTACAAAGTTAGACTCTACAGTAGAGTTGAGGTTTTTCTTGGATGCGCCAGGTAGGAGCCCTGGGTTGCTTATTCACAGGGTGGCTCTCTTGGGCCTGCCAGGTGGGGTGGGCCCAAGAAGGAGGGCCCCCAGCTAGAAACTGAGCTCTGTGCTATGTGGATGGAAGATAGAAACATGATCCTGAACTGGTGTGGATGATACCCTGGGTGCAGAGGATCCAGGAGAGAGAGAGGGGGGGAGAGGGAGGAGGGAAGAGAGAGAAAGAGAAAGAGCTCTGACCTGGTACTTGAACTACCTTCCTGAGTTTATGCCTCTCACCGCCAGTGTTGGAGATGGACTTTGAAGGCCACTCCCAGGGCACTCAGTATCACAGAGTGGCACCGTTGAGTTTCACAGAAATCCAGCCGTGCAGATTGGACACTGAGGAAGTACCTGGGTGAAGTTTTCCAAGTCTGTGCTAGTGTCTATTGATCAGGCACTCTAGCAGCAT